AAAAATTACATATATGTATATGAGAATTAAATAAATTGCAATATATCTGGATATACCTTATATATTTGGAAAAGAAGATACTTCTTCATATCTTTTTTCACAAATAATGATGAAACAAAAAAATATAACAAACGAGATAAATAAAATATTTAAAAAATTCGACTTTTGCTTATGCTATTTCTAGCTGCTTATTTCTGTCAATATTTGCTATACTGTAAAGTCACAGACATATGTATATGTCTGCGATGCAAAATTGTATTACAGAATGTGCTGAAATGTTTGTTTCACTCGACCACGATAGTAATACTAGCTGTGATATTCAAGGAGTGCTGACAGAGACTCACGCGATATTATTCGTCTTCGTGTCAATAAACGAGAACGTTTTTTTTAATTTTATCGTTCTTTCAAAGGAAATATCTGTTTAAGATCATAATGCCTGTGATATTATGAGTTTGTATCAGTTATTATCATGTATAAGTATCTATTTCTTCGCGATAGCTAACACAAACGGACAGGCACATTGAACCCTAGCAATTATGGGAAGTGGTCACGGCTCAGTGCTTTTAATTTATATCTCGTTGATAGTGATAATTACGTGTCCAATGTTACCTTGGAACAGCATATATCTTAAATAAAGGTTTAATTTAATCATAGCGTATTTCATAATTAACATTCGCGCCTATTCTGCGCATTAATTATACCTTTTCTATATCTCTCGCTATTAATAACAGCTGCTAATGACATAACATCTTTTACCATTACTGACTCTTATAATTTTCATTTAAATAATATTTGTTGCTTCTGACATATGCAATGAAATCATTATCTTGTTATTTATTGAATATTGCATCATTATTGAAATTGATTATGACTTTTTATGAAATTATATCACGCGTTAATGATTATTTTTCTGGGCAAAACTGTAACAAGTGATTGCAATATTCGTTTCTTTTTTTAAAATCATATCACGCGTTAATAGATTGTACAATAATATCAATCACATAGAAATGTGACAAATCTCAAGATAAAATTCTTTTTTTCCTTGCGAGACTCTTGTACTGGTAGTTCAAAATACACGGTCACAGTTAATCTTAATGCATACGTCGCGACGTTCTGAGACAAATAATTTTGTACCGGTAAAATATAACGAGCTGGCTTAAACTGCATTCCGCAGACGATAAGCATATCTTGCTTCGTAATGAGTGCGAACCTCTCCACGAACTTTTACGAGTGTAAATAATCCGAATCGTAAAATATACTCGATTCAACAACTTCCTCATTTCTTTATTAAAATGAAATAATTTACGATTGTAATTAGCTACTAAACATCGTTAATTGTTTTTTATAAGATATCAAAAATTGCTACCTTTTCTGTTATAAAAAATATATTTTACGATCGTATATATTTTATGAATCGTATGATTGTTTTATCAAAGAAATTAATGCAATTTAAACATAATTCGAATAATTTAATTTATTTATAATCGTAAATCAATATTCAAAATGTGTGTGTGTATTTTTGTCTGTATTTAGAATGAGATATTTTATAGTAAGAAATAGCATAAATATTGCAATAAAAATTCATGAATTTATCAATTTCACAATAGGATTCAGGAAATCGCAGCTCAGAGGAAGGAAAAAGGATTGATAAAATTCTCTATCCATGTATGAGGTAACATTCAGTGTATTTCCTTTCAGCAAATACTGATTGTTAAATACCAAAGTTTCTTCAATCTTTCTCGAAAAGAATTATGCTTATGTGTTTTTAAACCTTATCTTCTTAAAATATTCAAGACATTAACTTTCCAAGTTAATTCACCGAAGAAATTACGGATAAGGAATAATCTTTTCAGTAGATAAAAATATTCTTATTTATAACTATTAAATATTTAGATTATAAATAAATAGCTTAAAGTTAAAATATTAACGACTCAAGTAAAAACAATTATTATTTATTTAGTGAAATTTTATACGTATTTTTATATATTTCATGTACATATATTATATTAATTACTACTTTTTTAAATACATTTAAAGTAATATTAATTTATTATATAAAGATGACTCTTCTTTCCGTGAGAATCAGTGTTATGGAATAAATTTTGCGCTTCGCAACGCCATGAAATTAATGCTATAAATTAGCACACGAATTTTCTGCAACGTTTCTCAAAGGAAGACGTAAGACAGTTGAACATTAGTTACGCGCGAAGGAAGATGAGAACTATCTGCTCTCGTTACGGAATAGCGCAATTTCAAGTGTAATATTGCGCACAAAAAATATTTGAGAAGGTATCGAAGAGAGAGAGAGAGAGAGAGAGAGAGAGAGAGAGAGGGAGTGCAGAACGAATGACCTAAGAAGTGTACCATGGCCAGCGGGTTTCGCGAGAGACGCTCCCTTCTTCAGCAACTGGGTCTCATTTTAATTCCCCTCGAAAGAAACGACCGCCTAGCAGCTGTTGCCGCTTACGAAACGTGTGCATCGCTGAACTCTGCGGGATACTTATTTGAGGTGAGAAAAGGTAATCGATTTTGCGATCTGGAATGAGATAAGTGCGCGTATTTTTCAAAATATAGATGCGAATATAATTTTTTAATAGCAGCATAACTGATAAGATAATTAATTCAACAACTTTTAATCGTTAAATTAATGTCCTTATTAATGTAATTGTTAAGATGGTGAACGTGCAAGTTAAATTCTGGTATTGTATGTGTCATTTTTATTATTCCTGATCTTAATTTAGCTTCATGAGACATTTGCATTGAAATCGCATACGACTACTTATCACGACTACTTATACAACTACTTATTCACGTGTACATCATTCGAATGCATAATATAAAATTTACGTCAGCTACTTTTGCAATCTTAACATTCAAGGATATTTACAAAATGTCAATAGTTTTCCTCGAAAGTTTATTCCTTGCATGCAACAGATTATATAATAATTATGTTTCCGCGAAATTAAACGCGAAATATTTCGAACATATTTCGCGTCTGAGATATCTTTGTTCAATAAAAAATATACGTGACATGCTCTTTAACTTTATATAATCATATGTTAAAAAGATTATATTTTTGAGTTTTATCAAAATTGTTTATATTGCAATGGTTGAATTATATTTTGTGGCAGTGCAATAAAAATAACTTTCGAAATTGCGACATGTCGTCCTCAGTTAATTCTCGACGATTTCTCTCAGGAAGGACTTTATCGCCAATTGTTTTTCTTTAAAAGCGTCACTTTGTGCTGATATACACTCGACGGGAGACCATTTACGGGACATTTGAATGGACGCGATTTAGGTACATACACGAGTTTGTGTTATAAAGTGATTTATGACTGGCGAGAATCGCTTCGTCTCGGAATCGTGAAACTGGGCGAATGTAAAACGTTTAAACACAGCTGCGAGATAAACGACACGCCCGCTTGAAACTTAACACAAAGGTTCACCAGGCTGAATACCTATGTCGCGAATTTTTGCCAACTGTTGCGCGCATTTCCTGTTTCTCATTTATGTAACGATGTTCGAAAAGCGTATCAAAATTATACGCAATCGAAATGAAAACGTTACACTACAAATTAACGAAAATCATTAAAATTGCATTAAGCGCGATATGTGTGATAAAAGATAATTATTTAAAATATAAAATAGTATTTTCTAGTTTCTTTTATATTTTATTATTTCTGCAAATATCTCTTAGTGACCGTATATTTATCGGTACGCAGTAAGATAATGTAAACACGAGCTGTGTGAACGAATGCGGGGTACAAACAGCGATAGTCTGTTTCATTATTTACTGTTACACATTATGTTAGTAAACTCTTCTATTTGTTAATAATTATAAGAATAACAATAACTATAAGAAAATCATATTCACGAAAATGATATAAAACTGTAACGCAAAAAATATTATTTTCCATTTTTTAACCCATTATTAATTATATACAGAAACCCAACGTCGGTAGCTTATTTTTAATTTAGAAAATTTAACATGAACAAAATTGTGTTTATAATATACGAAAAGTCAGACAAAAACAAATCACAATAAAAGTAAAGAACAAAAACATAATCATAAATTCTATAATAAAAATTTTTTCAACTTTAAGCTCTAACATAAACTCTAATTTCACGTGATTATTCAAACTGTATGCCTCTCTAAACACGAATCTCCTATCAGTCCATAATATTTAGACATAAAACGAAGTACTACAATTGATCTCCCGTTAACAATGTGTTAGCAAACAACTGTAAAAAATAAAGCACAAAATACTATACATAAAAGCAGATGACATTTAATCTTTCTCAGCAAAGAATATATTTTCGAGTACTTAATTTTATTTCAATAGACGTAATTATTTGATTACTTAAATTAACAAAATATAAAAGTTATTGTTACATCATTTAAAATCATAGAATATTAATTAGTTTGTAATTTAAAATATATTGCTATATTAATTGGCAACAATTTAGCATACACAGTTTTTTTAAATTAATGACAATCAACGCGAGTAATCTTGAGAAATAACTGGTATTTCCACAGCGTCGACTATCCTTTGTCATCCTTAAACCATCCTTAAATTCTCATCCCACCCTACTGTCCCAAAATAGGTCAAAGAAAACAATTGTATCAGTGAGAGTTTAACACGATCAACGTAGTCAGCAATAACGGCGATTATTAATTGACGATATCCACTAAAAACACTAGCTAAAATTGTTAAAAGTGACACTAGCTGACTTTAACAATTTTATAATAACAATTAACCTCGTCGAAAAGCAATCTAACGTCGCAATTTACTCCGATTTAACCCAACCACCCCGGCTAGACGATACCATTCATAGATGCGTGTTCACCAATTCGAACGGCGTCTGCGCGGAAATACACCCTTAGTAGGTCGAGTCCACGAGTCCCACGTCAAAAGTAGGGGAGAGGGGAGATGGGGAGGAACGGAGGGTTGTTGACTAGGTCAGGGTGGCGGACGTGGATAGGGCGAGTTTCTCACCTTTCTTTGTGCCTCCGCGGCAAATCCAGATTTGGCAGCTCTGTTGCAGGCCATTTTTTTCGCCTCGAGAAAGAGTCGCGTTTACGGATGAAAAATCCGAGGGGTTAATCGGCCGATTACGAGGGAACCACGTTCACACTTCGGCGGACGCGACTCGACTGGCGGGAGCCGACTCAGCCGACGACGAGACGACGGCGACGGCAACACGTTTCGCTGGAGTTCCTACGACGCGCCCGGCGATTGGCCGCGCTGAGTATTGAGCTTTCATCTGGCGCGTCCGCGACACGTAACCTCCGTTCTCCAAACCGCCGACGGAGATGACGTCAGACGACGAGCGGATTCCTGCAGGAAGATGAAGAGGAGCGCGGGCTCTCGTTTCGTATTTTCATTAATTCGCTGGAGTCTTTGAACTGATGATAAGATAAAACAGGATGTTTTCTGTGTGCATCGAGTTTGGTAACATAAAAGTTAAGTTCTGATATCTACAATAATAACAAAAAATGATTCTTTTAAATTAAGAAAACTAAATAAAGATTTTTATATTTTAAAAAATTGTATGTGTGATTAATGGCCACCTTTTTCGAACTGTGAAGGAAAAATGACTATAATATTTTAAATAAATAGTGAAAATGAAAATACGGATTAAATTATAAGTTACATTGTAGTTTACGTATCTTTATTATGTATAAAACCTTGATTATGACAGCTTAACTGTCATGTGTAATTTATTTAACATTATTTAACATTAGCAGCTTTTAAAGGCACATGCAAACCTTTGCAGGCAGTTGAAAATAAAAATATTACATAATATTTTCATAATATCATTACTTCAAAAACTGTGCGTACATAAATTATCGTAAATATTGATTATCTTTGAGATTGAAATGCACTAAATGCAAAAAATGCATTAATTAGCAATTATTGGAGAAATTACAACCTATAATCATCTTTTGTGGCTATAACATCTGAATTTACATTATTTAGATAGAATATTACTCGTAATAACTTGTATACATATAACGAATACGTTTCAATTTCTATTTTGGATCTTAAGGGAATTTTAAAGTCATCTATTTTAGAGATACTTCAATAGAACCTAAATACGATTTATGTCACTATATAATACATTACTGTACACTACTGCATCAATATCGAACGCAAAACATACGTATAAATTTTCTAACTAATCTTCGTATTAGATATCTAAGCCTAATTCTAAGAACTTAATATTGTTTGTGTAATCCTTAGTCCAAATCAAGATTGTGTTATACATATGTATGTACAAAACTTTTATATAGCAAATATTATTACGAATCAACGCAAGAAGCTAACAAAGAACTGTAATTTTCCAATTTTTTTTCGCTTTTAACATAAACTTAACCGATTTGGACTACATTACCGTTTACACTTTAATTGTGTGAAAAAGGATTTTTAAATCTGTAAGACAATTAAAAAAACATTTGAAAGACAATCGATAAAACAGTTTAGGATCTCCTTAATAGTTGAGTGCATATCATATACAATATATAATAAAATATACAATATTTAAACGGCAGAAAACATGGATTAGGATAAAATTATAATAATAATGGTGTAAAGTGTAAAGTATAGAAATGCGAAACAATAAAATCATAATTTTATTAGATGTTGGAATTAATTCGTAGCGTTTTTTAATGAAAGAATGTTATTTATTTCACATGAGCATTAAAAAATACATTAATGAAAGTACTTCCCATCACTTGTAAAACGCTACGAATTAATTCCAACACCTAATAGTTTTCGAGTATTATTCAGTATTCGATATTTTTTAAAAATGTTTTATATTTCTCGCCAAATATATGTACTAAATTGGGATGTAATAGATAAATTTAAATAACGCGGAAGAAAAACTTGCATTTTCAATGTTTGAAATTTCATTACATTATTCTAAAAATTTACACACACACATACACACACACACACACACACACACACGGAGCATTATTCGCATTTCTTTCCTTAGCTAAACTGTAGATGACGTCAGGGTCAGAATTCCGGGAACAGGTCTGATATCGTCTGGGAATTCAAAACCTTTTGGTTCTTGTAATTGATTTTTGACCCGCATTTAATTTCATGGTTATCGTCATTAATCTATTAAGGAGTATGAAAAGTAAAATATTTGTCCATTTAACAATACGAAAAATAAAATATTTGTTTAGCAAAAATTATAAAATCGGGAAAGATAAAATATTCAAATAATATAATAATATATAAAAGTTTTTCTATATGAAAATAAATCCAACATTTTTTATTTTTATTATTTTTATTTTTATCTCTTATTTAAGTACTTTCGAAAAAGCCATTATTTTTAAATTAAACTTTACTTGATTTTACTTTAAGAAATGGAATTAAAAAATTGAAATATTTTTACTTAAATTTTGGCGGCCTCTATTTTATTAACTTTCGCGCGCATCTCCTTCGGCTTTGACTTCAGCTATACAGGCTACGATCATCGAAGAACGACCTTCTCTGAGGCCTCGTGCAGGCTTCCTACATGGAGCAAAAAAAAGTGTCCGTTGGGTCATGGAACCTTCGATGGATATAGACTATATAGGTTTCTCCGTATGCCTTCACCCGGTCTTCATTGTTGCTGTTCCACGACGGGAACTCGTTTTGTAAACGAAACTGGTATCACGCGGGCAGTTCATGTAAGCTGAGTTTATATTATATAGAATGATAAAAAGTAGCCATTATAAATTTAGTAAACTATATATCAGGTGCGTCATAACGGAGCAAAATGAATAGCGCGCGTCAAAAATATCTTCTGTATCGTAACCTGCAATTTATAATCTACAAATTGTAAGATAGATATATTGAAAAAACTGTTTTTAGTCAGAAAAAATTTTTTTGACATTTATTATATAAAAAACATTGGCAATGTATAAATTTATACTTGTTGACGTTAACATTATAAATGCGATTTAATGATAAATGCGTAAAATTTTAAAAATTAATTTGTAGATTGAATTTTTTAAATAAATTAACATTATTATGCATATCAATATCTAAACTCAACGTACTGACTTTTTTCTTACTTATTTTATTTATGAATACAGCGGTTTAAATTAACTTATTATTGTTTAATATTTATTGTTTGAATTTTTGCGAAATTTATAAGAAATGTATAAGAACTCGACGGAATGTTCCTGCCATTTTTGTTTTTTTTCTCAACGATTCCACTCGTTTACTCCTGCACATTTTACAGCCGCGCTCTGATCTATTTGCATTTCTATCAGCTTCTATAAGGATGTTCAGTGCTCCGTGAGAAAAGCAGTGCCATACCGAAAGGAATGCTAAGAATTTACTTAATAACAACTTCCTTCTGTGTATACATGGTAAAACCACCTAGAGAAAGAAAGTCCAGAATCTGGACTTGCTTTCTGATATCACATATCCTTGCGTTTGCTCATTTTCCATTCAAAACGTGCCATTTAATTGTAGTCTGCAACAATAGAAAAAATTTTAGAAGACACGCGAGTCTTAATCTATACAAATTTAAAGAAACCTTTTGTATCTTGATTATAAATATTATAATCTTATATATGCATATATTTGAAATATTATTTTTAATATAATTTTGAAACATTATTTTCACATCTTTTGTAGATTTAAAATATTATTCCTTTTCGGCTTTTTTTTGACGAATGTTTTAAATAAGTACCAGGAGTTACTCACAAAAAATGATACAAAAAATATATAATAGTAATAGTAATAATAGTAATAGTTGTGGGTAGCAGGTGGGACTATATTAGTCTCTATACATCATTTAGAACTAAAAAGTTTCTTTTGTGACTCCCACTAGGCCAATGTTGTGAACTGAGCTTTATAAAACTGTTCAATCTTTACTAATTGTGAGAGAAAAACTTTTTGGTATATGTAACTATAATACATATATTACTATAATTATATACATATATATATAATAACCATATATATATATAAAATATATGGTTGGCAATCAAAAATGACTGTAAGTTATAACTTATAATAAGTATGACTATAATTATTATTACCATAAAAATAGTTTAAATTAAAATGCTTAATTTAATTTTTTTAAAAATAATTATATGATTGTTCCAAAAAATATTTAACACTATTATTTATAGTAACTATTTTTATGATAATAATAACTATAATTAGTCATTTTCGATTACCAACAAATATATATGTATTGATAGAACTATACATATATAGAATGTTCCATTTTAATTGCCCTAAGCAAATATTTAAAAAATACATAAAACACGAAAAATGTTTTTAGTTGAAAAAGAAATGATTTCGAGATGTATTTTGGTCACGTTATTATTTCTTAGATGGAGGCGTTACAAAGATATGAAGGTCACCTTCACTTTTTAAAAATGGGATTATGTAATTCTATTTTATAATATGATTCCTTCAATTATTCTTCATATGAAAATATTAAGATAGAAAGAAATATAAAAAAATCAATGGTTTATTATGGAAATATTTTATACCTTATTTTGTTATACATTGACATGAAATATTAAATATTTTGTGAACCATTAATTTTTGAATCATCACACACATATCTTAATACTTTTATAAACAAATAAGATAAAAAAAAAATAAAATAAATCAATTAATGTAAAGAAAACGTACCGCACTGATAGATGTTAATTCTATTCTTTATGATGTTTTCTTTATATTAATTTATCATCTACCTCATTATTTTTTTCATAGATTTACATGGATTCAAATATTTGTGTAATCAGAATTAATTTAGGCTTAAGATAGCCTCAAAATTTCTGCAATCTTCGTTTAGACTTAACAGAACTCTACACAATCTGTACTCTTCTCTAGATCTTTAGGCCTATATAATTATACATCTAGAATAGTGTAAAATCTTTGAAATCAATTTTCATCTTATAAAAACGAGATATAAATGGGAAATATATAGTTGGGCTCGAACCTGCGACCTGCTGATTATAAATCGTTTTTATAAGTAACCATGCATCACCACAATAAACATGTAAATTAACATCCTTTTCAATATAAAGACAAGCACGTACAATGTCATCGTCTATGTTATATTTAGATCAATGATTACATAAACGTAACTGTTATGTTTGATTGTTTGACTTGATATTGAATAAACGTATACCATATTTTAAAGCGATTACGATCGACCTTCGGACAGTATGCACTAAATTTCTGTTTATGCGCATTAAAACATATGTCACGTATCGATGACTCAATCGCCTGCATTGGAACTTCAGCAAATATACGTACATGAGATACAACTTCGACAGTACACTTCTGCTTTCACACAAATCTATTAAAAGTGAAGTATTTCTTCCAATTTGTTCATATATGCTTGTGAGAAAATTATTAATATATTTACTTTCTATTAAAAAAGTTACATATTATGTGTATAAAATAATAAAAAATTTAGTGTAATGAGTGAATGGAAGATAACATAATTCATACTATATTCCGCTTGGTAATTCCGCGATCAGATATTTCGTGAAATACTCAGCAGAGAATCTTGTAATTTCTTTTAGATCTCCATAATTGTGAAAAGAGACGTGTAAACCTCTTTCAGTAATCTTCTTCAAAGATGTTCGACTCCTGTGCGTTATGTTGTTGAAATAATGTGTAAGAAATGCAATGCGATGGTCACGGTCGTGTACATTGTAAGTAGTGAAGTATAGCAAGAATATTGTGATTCTGAGTATTTCTTGCAATCATACGAGCAGCATTTACACAAGCATTCCGCAAGTGTGCTCACGCGATAATCGCACGCAAAGAAAGGGCAAAGGCCTGACCGTGCTTTTTAAAGAATTTTGCAGTTAAATTGGTGATGTGAACAAAATAATACTTAATTGTTGCATTTGATATATGAGATGTTAAAATTAAACATTCATTAAGACAATATCTGATGTTATTATTACAATTATGGAGGAAAACCAATAATTTACCTACATTATATGATTATTCTATGCATTTAAAATGGCATTGCGTTGTCGTGCTATATCCGAGAATTATATATTAATTTTTAGAGTTTTTTCATACCTAATCCTTGCCCTCCTAATGGCATTAACAAAATTCGAACTATCGGAAATTTTATGCGATTTTATGCGAGAGAATGCTAAAACACTTTGCTGTTCTTAAAAGATTACATTATATTCCTTTTTTTTTTGGAAAGTTCATTAATCGATTTAAAATAATTATAGGTATATCTAATATTTCAAAATAATTTATAAAATTTATTATGTATGGGAATAATATATTATTACTATGTGAAGAATAATTTTTTTTACGTTTATTATAATATACATATTATTTATTATACTTAAAATTTTGCACAAAAATCATTCTTTGCAATGCACAAATGCATAAAGATTACTTGAAATGAAGTACTTGAAATTTTTGTCTTAAATAATCCTATAAATAAAATTGTTACGCGTGCTGGAACTGAGTCAAGTCCGCATTCGTGGTATGCTTTTTTTTGCTTACCGGTTCACTTACGATTTCCTTCGAAGGATGATCAAAACCGGATCGAATGAATACCAGTTCAAGTAACGTCCTTGTACCATGTAGAGATGCTCTGACCGAGAATTTTGTTTTCATGTTGACCTATATTCAATTCACAGTCTTTTTGTATTAACAATAAGCTTTTGATTTCAGACATTTATTAAATATATTATAATTTATTTCGTTATATATACAAAAAATTATAATAATACTAAAAAAATTATAATTATAATAATACTGTAATTAAAATAAAAATGCTATTAGTTGAAAAGCTTTTCGAATATTAATTCGGCCTTTATGAATTTAAAATTTAATATTTATCCATATTTTATTTTTATTGTTTTAACTTTTTAATATTTACTTATATTTTATTTTTATTTTTAATTATTTAATATTTTATTCCGCATTAAAAAATTTTTTTATTATTTTATTTTATTTTTAATTTTTTTAAATAAGAAAATCTATACAAAATAATCGCAATTTTGATGCAGTGTAGAGATTTTAAGTCCTATAGACAACTAATAGTGATCACCTATTTGAGTTTCATCTTTTAATAGATATTAATAGTATCCATGTGTTAAAAGTAATTTAAAAAATTCATTTTTTTCACACTATGAGCTGTATTTATCATCACCTTAGAGACAACAGACAGTGTAAAATAACGTTAATATGGCAGAGTAATATAATAAATGAAAATATTTTATTAATTTATTTATTAATTCACTGATTAAACACACTTTATTAATTCGCTTATTAGTCATGAAAAAGAGCTTAAGTATTATGTATTACAATGTGATACATCTAGATGAATAATTACTTAGGGCTTTATGAATTGAGATTTTTTAAATTTAATAATCATTTTTGACATTTTTCTAATAATCATACAATATAAATTATCTAATGGAAATTCGTAATGGCTAAAAAACAGCCTTGTTGACCCTCCTTCTTACCTTTCCTCCTTAGTTATAGATCAATGTGCAAAATATATTCTAAATAATATAAGTTAATTATTTAATTTAATTTAATTTTTTTTATTTCAACTGAAAAATATTATATATTAGGTGTTGGAATTAATTCGTAGCGTTTTACAAGTGATGGGAAGTACTTTCATTAATGTATTTTTTAATGCTCATGTGAAATAAATAACATTCTTTCATTAAAAAACGCTACGAATTAATTCCAACACCTAATAAAAATTTGCAAATAATTTATTTCTTTTTGAATTAAATTATTATTTTTTTCTGCAACAATTCGGATAGTTAAAATAGATACAGAAAGTATATCTATGAGGATAATTAAATAACAAAGTGTATGAATTATTTAAAAACTCAATTTATAGAGACGATTATGAATGCTTATCTTTCTGGACATTAGTTTACAATAGTAAATTCCGATAACGTTTAACTATAATATTCATTATATTAATAAATAATTAAAACATCCATTGAATTTATAAGAACAGTCGTATATATTTGGAAGAAAAAATATACAGGAGAGATTTATATTTATATTATTTTTATTTAAGCATTTTGTCCCATATCATTTCAGTCATATTACAATATATTACAAGTAACGTAGTTACCTGTTTGATGTTGTACGCAGTATATAACTTTATTTTTATATACCTAATCCTCTAAATTTTAATGCGTTATATTTTAATGTATGAAATCGCAAAACCAACAATCTTTCAACAAACTACAGACGGAGTTTGGAAACATATTCAATAGTTTTACACTCTGTCAGGTGAAATCAATGTTCTTGTGACCTAACGACGGTGAATAACAATTCATTACGTTTGTTCGCAATGTTCATCGAATTGGTAAAATATGATAATTTCTTTCATAGATATGTTTTTTACATTTCGTAAATAGCAACCTCATCAGAAGTGATATAATGGTACTATTAACATATGGCATCCGTGTGTGATATGTATAAACGAAAAAACAATATGCTGCGCATTTAATTCTTTCAAAATAGAAAAATCATTCGTTCGAGGAAGATATCGCAGATTAATTACTTAATAACAAAACCATGGCGAGCTCACATTTTATCGCGGTGAATGTATTTTCTAGACAACTTTATTACATATCAGAATACAGCCTACAGTTTATCGATTAGTTACTTATCAATATATTCTTAGATATAATAACATCCGGCAGATATTAAAAAATAATAGACATTGCCGTTTAAATTCATTTAGAAAATCTGAAAAAATCATGTAACTGGATAAAAAATAAACTTGAAAACTCGTAATGCTTGTCGCTTTGTTTTATTATAAAAGATTCTCTTTGTCTCGTGATTATCGATTTGTAAAATTCAAGAGCGCTGAATACAAGAAGATCGGGTATGGATACTGTCTATTTTCCATTATGTGTCATCATCTAGAATCGCAACATGTACATTGTGTAAGTTACGTCGAGGAAGAGCCCGTGGCAGTGAACAGAATGGGTATGTAAATATAAGCTACGTTCTATGATAGATTATGTGATTTGATACATTGCTTTTGCATGCATTGTTAATGATATTTTCTTCCGTGTATTTTTTATATATACTCATTATATCTCTTATTCGTTTGTATAGTTTAGCTAGCAAGCATAACAATTGATTTTTCATTATGATTAGTTTTCATGATATGACGTGTCAATATGTAGTAAAGTTACTCTCAGGGGACCACCAAAAGCCAAACCATAATCATCTTATCGATATAATTCAGCTATACAACGACGTATATCAAAACTTATAAAATACCCAAAACCACCATGAGAGGCGAGTCCCCTGACCCTGCATTTGCGCGGCAGATATACCATGTATTCGTCTCTGATATGCGTTTAGAGCCAGACTTGTTATTGGTCGATAATTACGATTAAACGTTTGCAACGTGTTGAATGGATTTAGCGTCGATCTAGCCGACTTATAGCTTCTGGCCGGGGCAAACGTCGCGATACAATTGTTATTTAAAAGCCGGCGGCGGCGCCCGTTGACCGTTCGTCTTCGACGCGTCCTCCGTCATGACTGTTACCAATTCACCCACAGCTTTTCCTAAGTCTCCTGAAATAAAGAACAAAGATCTTTAACGCCCATCTATTTCTTTGTTATTGCTCCTGTAGTTCAGAATATGTTGGCAAACTCAAGATATTTTATAATTAATTTTATAATTAATTAGACAATTAATGTGTATATGTTAATTACACAGAAGAGATATACAGAAAAAAAGAGATAAGCGTGAGACGAGTCGAGAAGATGGATTTGGGCATATATAAAAACGCGATCAACACTAAAGATTGTATTCTCGTAAAGATTGCATAATCATTAGATTGTCGATGATATCATCCGTTGCGTTAAGTAATTTGACATCGAGGTGATTATATGTATTTAGGCGATTTTTAGCTCCCAGGGAGAAGCACAATGATCTCACCTTACATCCATTCTGTAGCGTGAAAACAGGAAGGCAACGTTATTTTTGTTATGTTAAGCAGAAATGTCACGTGCATTAAGGAGGTTGGGCATAATATAGATTAATTATACTACATAATTGATACACGATCAAATTCACATAAATTAAACGAACCTGCCATGTGCAACAAATTACCCACATTGTGGGTAACGCTGTGAGAATGCGGCGGTGGCGGTGGCCTCTCTAAACTGCTGACTCTACCCTCGTTTGAGCTTCCTCCACCTATACCCAATAGCAATAAGCTTATCTAGTTTCCACGGCGTCTGATTAAATATGTATATACAGATGTAAACAATAGGGATTCTTTACAATCTTACTTTATAACAAAATAAAAGATTTATAATGTTGTAATATTTCGAATCACTCAATTTTTTTTGCAATTTTATCAATTTGTTAAATGTTATTTGTTATATTAAAGAAGATAAAATCTTGATGTGCAGAAAATATTTTAAGCGAATGAAATGTATCATTAGCTCATACGCATAGTTATATTTATAATTAAAATCATTCAATCCCTATTGTATCAATATGTAGTTAGTGTAATTCTAATAGAAAGGCATTAGATTCGGCTGTTATATATGAGTTACAAATGTGTATGATTATTAATAGTGATTCCTAATGGAGATATCTAATGTATCGCTCTAGATATTATCATTTATTTATTTCCCAAGAGTCACAAATATTTAACTTTTTATTAAAATTAAAGCTATTTGTTAAATTAGAATATACCTGGAGAATCATGATAATGGCCATTCATTTTTGCTGGAGAGTCAGTTGCTAATTGTGATGCCGTTACACTTCGGGTTTGTAAAGTTCCGGTTTTCGATGGTGAAGAAGCGTTTGGCTAAAAAAAATAATTAGATTAAAAATTTCTTTCTTTTTTGAGTTATTGAGATAATAAATAAATATATAATAAATATATAATAAATAAAAATAATAGATAAATATTAAAAACATTCTTGGCCATACCTCATCTAGAAGCTGTCTAAGTCTCTGCAGTTGCGCCTCCAATTGGCGATTGTGGTCCTCGAGTAATTGCATGCGTGCTTCTAATCTTCCCTTATGCTGCCTTAGCAGCTTAGCTTCTGCAATCATATCGCAATCAGGCTGTCTAGTACTGTGACCATCTTCTGGCGTTGAACCAGGAGTTTGCTTCGAGCGTAATCTTTCGTACTCTGCTTGCAATGTCGCATTCTCCTCTTCCAATTCACGTATCATTGCTTCAAGTTCTTCCCTCTGCTCGGCGTCTATCGCGGCCATGACTTGGACTGGACTTCTGGGTACATTAATATTGTCGCCACCGTTCAAACTCTGACAGTAATGTGCTATCAGTTGATGTTCATCGTCGCTGTCCGGCGTGGAGTTACTTCTTGTACGCGACAACTCGACTTCGGCGAGTCGAGAGGCGTACATTTCTAAACGGGAGTGCATGTCTTGACTGAGTGAGCTGTGTTGGGGCGATGGCGCCGGGCTCTCCAACGCATCTCCTTCCAGGACAGTTTGCACAGGCAAATAGCCAACTCTGGGATGTTTTTTGAAGTATCGTTTAGACTTAAATTTGTTGCGCAACGCTCGCGTGAAGTCCCGTACATCTTCACCGGAGGTTGTCTGTAAAATAACAAACACGTCGTTTCAAATACCTATAAAAATCGTTTCCTTTAATCACATTTAAAAAAATAAAGATAGATGTCTTACCGCCGTGCAATATTCTTGCATCGGATGCGTTAGTTTATGATTCTTTGCTTTGCGTCCTGAGAAGAAACAGTTCTGACACATGTCAAAGTTGAAGCATTTCAAGCAACGGTATCTAAAATATAGATATTTTTTTACGTCAATACACATTTTGAAAAAAAATTATATATACATACATATATATATATATATTTTTTAATCAAATGTAATCTCACCTGAATCCTATAATAGGATATTCCTTGCATATATTGCATTTGGCTTGGTGTTTAGCAGTCTCCGCTGCAGATAGTCTATGCAATACCGGCAGCCAGACCATACTCTGTGGTTCCTGTTGCAGCCAACTTAAAAAGTGCACAGCTTCAATTTCGTTCTTATCTTTTCCCGCCTTCTCGAAGCAACTACGAACACTAGGCTCAATATTCGAGCCACCGAATGCTGCAACTTCACCCAATTGTCTCGGCACTTGTATGCAATCGTGCAATAGAAGACCCAATTTTCGTTGATCTACCAATCTATTGGGATCCGCAATCAAACGGAATAGATCTGTAAATAACATTTTAAAAATCTTCATTAGATATAGTTAAATATAACGTTTAATTAACTCATCAGGGAAAATCTCTTCGTATTACTTACATCTGTACTTTTCCTCTAAGTGTCCCTTGCATAATAAAACCAAACCGACTTTGAATGAAAGTACTCGAATTTGGCCGGTTCGTTGACTGAAAATTATAACAAAGAAATATTATAATGACAGTTTATCATGATTATGTTAAGCATGTTTTGAGAATAAAACAATTTAAAAATTGGATAACGCTAAGTATAACGTTTTAAGAATAAAGTAATTAAAAAATTGGATAATCTTTTAAACTAAATATAAAAAACGTAAATGTATAAAATGTGAGTCAAATAATAAAAGATAGAACATGTCGACAGTTTAATAGATATAAAATGTATTCACTTAGAATACCTATCGTATACATTGAGCAGCCAGTTAATGGCTAGGTCAATGCATAGCGGTACGGACACCTGCGCTGGATTGTCTGCTGCTATTACTTCGTATAGCGATGTCAGTACTGTTACCATATCGGGGATGTCGATCAGTTTATCATTCTGTGCCCGAAGTCCGTGTGAATCGAATTGTTCTAATGCGGTGGAAAGGCTCAACATGTCCACTAAAAATAATTAAGTCAAAATATGGAACAGTTATTCACTCTGTACTTTTTTCATTTTCAAAATATTGCATGGTGTTAGGTAATAAAGATCAACAAAGAAATTCTCACGATATCGATCAGTTTGTATAATAATAAAATAGCAACAATGAGGCAGCAATAAAACAACAGTAATTGATCAATTTGATCAATGATCATCAAAGATACTCACGACACAGTCGCTTCTGAACGGTACGCAATTTCATAGCGGTTCGATATGCGGAAAAGCGAACTTCATTTAAGTCTGCGAGTGAAGACATCAGTTCTATCATTTTCGGGTGATCCCAATGCGTAGTCTCCAATTGATGGCTGTAACAGATTTGAAATTTAAATGCATAAACTTAACTCTATATACATGAAGAAATATAATATACAAATAAAATAAAGCAATAATCTTTTATACATTTTAATACATTGATTTTAATAAATTGAAGAAATCTTTCGACATATATTTAAGTTACGTTTTATATAATATACATAATAATTTAACTTATAAAAGTTTTTTTTAATGTTCGAATTAATATAGATATTTGTTATTTAGACATTCAAATAAATACTAATATATACGGAATATTTTCTTAGATATTTGAGTTTATTAGCCTCATTTGATATTTGAATCAATTTATTCTTTAATAAATATACGAATATTCCTTTCAGTATAGCATAAGACTAGACCATGTTAGTAAAAGCTCTCGATCGCCTCAGGAATAACCGTGTCGTACGGTTTGGGAAAATCGAGGCAACCGTGCGGGTGGTGCAAGGAAGATCGATTACTTGATATAGTAAGGCACTTTGGCGGGTGTGAGGGCTCTCTCCCATGGTGGTTCTACGCTGCTCGCGAGGAAAGCCTGACTACCCGGAGTGCTGCCATCCTTCCCGAATCCGCTTAGCAACTTGTAACGCTCGTCAACCGCGACTTGCAGCACCTTCCACCTACGAAAACACACGAAAAAGTTAACGTCGCTGCGTCCTGAATTCAAAACCTGTCGCATGGCAAGTTGTAAAAATAAGCCCCACAGTGCCGGGCGAATTTTAAATTCTCTATCCTGATACTTGCATAAAATAACGTAAGACAGAGAACGTTCCAAACGGATAATCGTAAAGAGAATATTTTGTTTGTATATTTCTACAGAATTCGTTATTATTCAGAGGGAATTGTAATATCTGAAAAATTTTGATGCCAGATCGCTTGGAGGATACGTCATTAAATGATTCTGCGACATCGTATACATTGCTGACGTACGAGTTTTGTCTAAAAATCAATCAGAAGTCACACTAAATTTTTACGCGGTCGTCAAGTAAGTACCTGGTGTTCAGATCTTCGAGTTTCGCCAATAAAGCATGAGAAACGATGACACTGCTAGATGCGAAGACGCTTGCCTGGTCGTTCGCATCTTCGATGTTCCTTTGGATTGGTACCAGTCGTTCGCCGAATTTTTGCAACTGCTCGAGCATCTCCGTCGCTTCGTTGGCGTCGTTTGGATTCTGCCAGCCGCTCTGGATCGCCTCGGCCGCGGCCATCCGCGAGGAGAGATCCTCGAGGGACTTTTGGAAGACACATATTTTCTGAAATCAAAATAAAAACAAATTAAATTAAAATTTGCATTATTCGTTCACCGTTCGTTATTCGCAGGGATTATTCAGATAATAATTGTTATATTTAATTTATAAACTAATGTTTCCACAATCAAAGATATCTAAGTAATCTTTTTTCCAATAACAATATATTTTAATAATTGTATTGTTATCAAGCATTTGTATATTATTAATTACGTAATGTTTCTATATTTATGTATTATTGCATGATTATTAATCCCTCTAATTATAGAAAATAATGAGAAGAAAAACATATGTATAGATAGAGATCTATATTTGTCTAATTAAATTACAATTTAATTTATTTAAAACAGTCAGTTAGAAAAATCAAAGTTTAAATAACGGTACAAGATAGTTTTAATTATCGATATCATTTTCGTTTAGCTTTTGAATAATTTGCTGTCATATTAATAATAATTTACTTGCGACAAATAATATTTAATGGAATTATAATCAATATAATGAAATAGCGAACATTGTAAGATCTTATTCATTTCTATGCGGCGTAAACTCAACTAGCATATACATATTCATTCATGAACATTATTCAATGCGATGCACGCTTCACAGTATGAAAGTGCAAGAAACGTTCAAGTTGCTTTACTGCCGCAATTACGACTAAAAGTGATATTTCCTGTTATGAAGAAAAAAGTTTCCCAGGAGCGGCTATTTGCGAATGAGCAGAAAAGCATAATTGTACATACGGAATTTTATGGTCGCGAGATGTATTTATCATATTATCGTTTACATTCTTCGTGTGTATTTTAGAAGCGCGTTATAATCGGATCAAACGTAATTAAATTACGACTGTTTTAATTTTGCCTTTTGATTCGTGGTTAATTAAGTTTAATTTCCAATTGTGAGAAATCCGATAGAGCATTAAAAGAATTAATTTTTTTCTTTGACTTTATTATAATTTTCTACATGGGAATTAAAAAAACAGAAATAAAATAAAGTTTAAAAATTCGATAAATTAAATTTTTCTTAAAAGTAATCTTAAAAATAAAAGAAAGAAATATAGAAATTGAACGTTTCTTTAGCTATTTAAGTTAATTCTGTATATAATTTTCAAGAAACGTTATTTTAAAAGACTTATAAAATTTGAAATTTAATTAATAATGAAAATTAATAAATTAGAAAATGGATTTCAATTATATTTTTGTTGAAAAAACTGTTTCATTCTGATCAATAGATTCAAATAAAAATTGTGAATTATACAAAAAATTTAAATTGACAAAATAATAAAAACAAGTAAAATCATTCATAGTAAAATATTATAATTCCGTCGTTCTTTTTTTCTGACACTTACGAGAGATCGTACGAACAGAGAGATATGAGATAATCACTAACTACAAATGGCGTGCTCTCTCAGCCTTTTCAATTTTCATTCTTGGACAAGGCGCGGTAACCGGCGTCGCGATAAAATTCACCGGGCATTTATCAGTCGGCGATACGACATGAGAGAGAGCAGAAAGAGTGAAAAAAACGGAGGAGGAGGAGAAGGTTGGTCGGTCGGTCTCACGATGGCATTTGCATTCCAAATAAACGCCGTCGACGGACGCTAAATCGCTCTAATTAGTCGTCTCCCTATGAAAGTGCTTTAAGCGTCCCTTGTTCCGAGAGTGGGATAAGGAAAAAGGCCGAAACGTAAAAGCGGATCACGAATGGAAGAGAAGGAGAAAGAGACGGGAAGAGAAATAGAAGAAAAGTTGGGATCTTACTTGCATTTGTGACGAAGGAAAGTGGGATGATCGAACTGATGAAATGCTGGAAAAAGCTGAGTCGCGCCCTTTGTTCTTAATCACTTAGAGAAAGAGCGATTATATGAATATAAAAAATTATCGTTGATAAAGCGTGCAATCATGGATGACGGAAATTCGAGCTGAATCATTTGAAGATAAAGTGCCGGTACATTTTGTACCATTTTGTGTCGGATTTCATTAAAGAAAGAAATTAAATAATAACTTGACAGATTAACTTAACAGATAGATAATTTCTAAATAAACAATATGAACTCTGTTTGTATAATGTCGTTATGCTACATTATCGAATTTACTTTACATATGGCAATGTGCTATATTTTACACGAAAAATAATTGTCGTGGTTATCGGCTAAAATTAAAATACATTACAATTCTCGCGTTTCATTTGATTATTTATCCATATATGTATACGTTACGTGATAAATGGGTGGGTACGAATACTGCATTATCCATGACGTGAATTGTGTCCGACATAAAGCATCTCTAATAACGTTCATGCTAATGAGGAATTATTGAGTTCAATGAAAACGTAATTATTCAGAACGCTAAAACATTCTCGCGTCGTTCTCACATGCGTCTATACGAAATCAGTGTGAAAAAAAATCAGTGTAACGAGCGGGCAATTTTGTTAGCGAACCAGATTATGTCAACGTACGCCCGCATGCAAGCATTTCTGGTTACATAAAAAGTACGAGAGTAAGACAGTAATTTGATTGTACAATGAGATCTCCGCGTGGACATGCAAGGACGATATTTAATACGTTTGAACTGATATGTGTGACACGTTAAACGTAACACATTACGCGGGTTTAACCGGGATTTAAAAAGAACTTCAGAGCAAAAGTGAGAGACGGTGCTCGGAAAATTTTATAATCGCGCTATTACATAAACAGCATTGAGTATGAAATTTGGAAAACAAGATTACAAAGATTAACAAAAGACGTGCAATAATATTTTGCACCATTAAATTATTTTACAACACGGTAATTGTAACTAAAAAATTTTAAAAAGAATTTTTATAAAGAAAACATTAAACTTTCTCTTTATATGAATAACCTAAGTCCCTGTCTAGATAATACATAATCCGCCAGAATTTAATATAAAATATTATTTATCATTTTATATGCCGTGTGTGCGCGCTTTGACATTTATTTTGTATGAGTTCCGATTTTTAATCCTATTCTTCTTTTTAATATTTTAAAACGCATAAAATTATAAATAGAATTTTTTAAAATAAACCCTAACTTTTCTGATATAAAAATTTTCAACTTAAAATCATTAAATTAGCATTTGATTTATTTTATCTAAAGACAGAGTATAATAAAATATTTAATTAGTGAGAAAGTATTCTGCGGATTTTAAATAAAGACTGTTCTGTGTATTTTTCATTGCACGATTTTTGAAGTAACATAAAAAAAAAAAAGAAAAATAATTGAAGTGCATTTGTATGTCGTTAAAAAAGTCAAAAAAGAGAGTTTACGCGCGACGAGTTTTTCAAGTCGGCCGCAATAATTTGCTCGGCGAGTGCCACAGGAAGTGCGCGCTGACACACCGGCAAGTGATGCAGTTTCGTTCCGTCGTAAATAAAATTACGATGGATAAGAAAAATATGAAAAACGAGAAGAAAGCGAGCACTGAAAGCTCCGACCGGAAATGGAGAACCCGAGAACTTAATTCTAGACAGTCTCTAACAAGAGTCGCGAAATAACATCCTTCGATTCTGATTGGTTCTGATTGGTTCCGTATTTCAGCGGAACAGACTACCCTAGGAAAAATTATAATAATTCTACGAAAGGATGGTAAGAAAAAAAAGAGACGAGATGAGAGCGCAGCTGACGCGGTACATAAAAACTGTAGCGCAACCAATGCTTCGTCTGCCGTAATTTTATTGTGAATTAAAGTGACGTGTATTTCTTCGTATCATATATAAGCGACATTTGATCCAAAAATACAGGAGGAGAGACAAGAAGTCATGTTCTTATCGTTCCTTTCGGAAATTCTGCTTTCGCAGCGCTGTTTTTCACTGAATCGCGAGCATCGAGTAACTCTATTCATAGACGTCACTTTGTAATTCTCATTATAGGTTCTCCATTTTATTCCCATGATAAATCGCGCCGAAAGAAGTTCTTCTGGATTTTCGGGAATTGACGTGGTGACGGATTGTGCACCTGGACGTGAATTAATTGGCAGGTTCGATAGCACAGGTTTCGTAGGCCTTCACGCCCAAAATCGTCCGCCTGCCGGAGACTGAGGCCGAAATAATTTCTCGCCGCGGCATCTGCAATGTCATTTATTATGTGGCCAACCGGGCAATTAAAGTTAACTCGGTCGCGCCGACATCGTCTCCGCTCGGCCCTTCCCCGACAGTTTCTCGCGTCGTGCGTCCTGGCGAAGAACTTCTTCGTGGAATTTACTAAGCTAATTGTCTGGCGCCGACCGATATTCTCCTGGCTGTATGCACAACTCGTGGACCGTTTGCCAATTAGCTGTTTGACTTGCAATTCGTTGCGAGAGATCTCGTTCTCTCTCTCTCTCTCTCTCTCTCTCTCTCTCTCTCCCTTTCTCGTTGCACCTTTTCTTATAATTACTACCAAGCGTGAATCATTTGCTTTTATACGCGTGAATGACGACATCATGAAAGCGAAACACTAGAAAAAGAGAAAAGCATTTTTAAAAATATTCAATCAGGACCTTGAAAAGCGATTCTATGAAGTAGCTTTAGCCGTTCTTGAAATTCTACCTGCAAATTTGCTTTTATTCGCCGAACAAAGACGTAATTCAAGACAAATCTAGTCAGGTACAGGTAAACGGAGAGTCTGAAAGATTACGATATCTTAAAGTGTTTCCAAATAATAAAATATCATTTAGTTAACTTAACTTCTTCTAAACACAAAGGCATATTTAATTTTATATATTGCAATAAAAACTCTATTAGACGATCACTACAAAATGAGTCCATTAAATTTTAGCTCTTCATTATTTGGATTTTAGCTACTCGGTATTTTGAGTTTCGTCAAAAATATGAAACGCTATGTTTTCTGACAAAATATTTAAATAAAGAGATCGGATTTCAAAAGACTGTTATCGGACTAAATTATTTTCATTAAAATTCGTTTAAATTAATATCTTCATTCCTTTCTCTTACGCTTATATAACGTTGCTTTAGTTCAGATGTAAGAGTATTATATGAGAAAAGACAAGAGGAGC